GCAAAACTGGTCGCCCGCGAATCGCATGTCTGTCCGATCGACCTGATGCCCATCGGACAAGACCGCCGCATAGTTTCGCTGCGTATATTGTATCTCGTTTGAGATTTACGACATACCGTTCGATCTTCTTTCCGGTATCGCAAACGTGCAAGGAAAGATTAGAGCGAAAGTCAGCAAATCTTAATATTCTTTCTCGGTCTCTTTTTGCTCTCTTTTCACCTTTCTCTCTCTCTCATAACTTCTTAATATATTTGGGATACGTTAATGCAAATCGAAATTAACCGATGGAACTATATCGAAAAAAAGATTGATGTTAAAAAGTTATATATATTATTAAAATTTTGTATCTCTCTATTGTAAATTAGTGACACTAAATGTGAGATGTGATGGGTGTAATAAAAAATTACTTCTTACTTTGTGAAGAATATTGCGTGATACATATAGAAACATTCACTCGTTGACGTAATTTTCATGTACAAGCATTGTAATTTTAAAGATTTTGTGCGAAGTAATACTTTTTGAAATAATTTTCTATAAAAATCTTAGTGAAAACCTTGTTTTAACAATTTTATGGGAATTCTTTTGTATTGTAAAGATAAATAATGCGCCTATTATACTTGTTGTTTGATGTTTCCGGTTAATCATTATATGAAAATAATTTCGTTCGGGAAACGATTGTATTCTAATTAGAAAAATTTTCAATTAATTAACGAATTTTATCGTCATGTGGCCGTTCTGTCTCAGCGGTCACAAAAATTCTCTCCCGCGTCTCGTGCGCACCTGTTCAGCTTTCTACACTACTCGGAAATTCAAAGACAATGCGATCTTATCAGGCTATGTACAAGTTTTAAATCCGCTGAATGTTCCCAAGAGAGTACTACGTCTACTCTCGACGAGGATAGGTGTCGGTGTTGAAAAAAAAAGTTCGAGTGATGATATGGGAGGTGATCATCCCAAGTATTCATTCATCTTAAATAAAGAAAAGCACACTCTCTTTTAATCCTATCGCTCATTCTCTTCCCTTTGCGATACTTAATCTCTTTACAGAACGAGAAAGCCACTATAGTGGCACTGAAACAATGTCATATTTTAAGGCAAGCAATACAACGAAATAAAGAATTATAGCAAATCTTAAGTTATAATAAATTTGCTTCAGACAAAACTGTGACAGTTCAAAAATAAATTCTCGTTTTCTAAAAGTTAATATGCTTCAATTCCACCTTTTCTTCGATTGTGAAGGAATTACCTCGCTCGTCAAACATCATCAAACAAGATATATAACGCTTTTTCCCTAACTACGGATTTCCTTTTTCGTAGGGATACTATATCTTCTTTTGCTATCTACGTCAATTTCTGTAGAAATTTTATAATGAATAGCCGTAACTGATTTCATCCTTAAATTCAAACTATCCGAGAATTCTTTCAGTTTCCTTCGCATTTGTTTCGTCCGATTCCATTCAATGAGAAACTGCCCTTGCGCTTCTCTTTTTCTGTGCGCAACATCTACCTATGTGTTCATTAGTTTTATTAGCATGACTAAAGAGTATCTTTGTTGAGATATCCTTGCAGACTTAAGAGCCATTTTGCTCTTGCATCTTCCTTCATTATATCGTTTTCTCTTAGTACATTTGTCTCTGGATAAGACACTAGACTATCGAAATGCCTGAGTTCGAACAAAGAGGAAAAGGACGTCAGTGACAGAGAAAAAAGGATTATCGAAAAATGGGATGTTCAAAAAGATCCTAATAAATCTAGAGAATAATAAAAGCGTATCAGATCATGTTTCGTGTATGCGGAAATCGCTGTTTGACTACAAGTTTCAAAAAAATAACCATAAAAGGTCCATTTTGAAATGCCAGCGGGGGTTTTTTTGATTTACAACGAGATATTTGTAGACGAGATGTATTTTTCTATTCTTTTATTTTTATTATTTCTATATAAAACGATCGTTGAACGGAAAAAGAAATGGTATATTTCTTTTGTCGGATATTGCGTTTTGTTGAAAGAAAATCAATTTCGCAGTTATTTTTTCGAACCAAAGAAAGTCACAATTAAAAATAAAACAAGGTTAGTTTAGATCATAAATCGAATATATTTTTAACATCAGCATAAGGTTAATGATAGATTATTTTTTTAACCAAGAAATCGATCACAGCCATACACTTGGGCGCATTTAACTACAAAATGGCGGTCCTTAATTATTGGAAAATTTTTATTTTTATTCTGTTTCTATTTACTACTAAGAGTGATAATAAAATTGTATAAAACTTTTTTCTTATTATATTTTAATTTTAATAAACTAATTTTTATCCTCTTCCATCTTGTGTCTATTACAAGTATAAAGATAAACGCGTCCGAAAAAATAAAGCTTTATATCTTCTTAATGCGAAGTATCATTCTAGTGTAATTTTGCCAACTTGCTAATCAAAAGGTTAGCTAGCAGCAGTAAAATAAAAGGATAGTGTGAATTTTTTTTATTGACGACTTTACAGTAAACACTTGATTTCTGAAGCATACAAATTTGAATTTCCGGCGTGTTAAGTTTCTTTCCTTCACGACGCCCAGCACATATGTATGTATGCGTACACAACTACAATATCGCTCGCGCGTGAGGAGGAGGAAGAAAACGCCGTGTTCTTTATCGATCTTCGCAAACTACACAGCGATCATGCGCATGGTAGGCCGTAGGGAAGTGTCGGCACCCGTACTTCAATTTTGGGCCAGAGGGTGTCTGGGTCCTGATAAAATGAACCTAAGTCGTCGTTCTACAGGATACAGGTGGGTAGAGGGCGCCTGGGAGCAGAGTACAGACACATTGTGTACCGGGGAGGGATTTCCGCACGCGGAGAACCGCGAAGCGTGGCCGCGCGCGCGCCTACTCCCGAAAATTCCACAGGGAAGACCGTCTTCGTTCTCCCTCGCCTTCGTCGACGTCGTCGTCGTGGCCGCTGCGACCGCCGTCATCGCCGCTGTCGCGGTCGCGGCGGCCATGTTTGCGCCAGGATGGTAGGCGTTCACGGGCGGTACCGTTTAGTCGCGCGTTCTCCAACTACTTTGGAGAACGCTTCTGCCCCACTCGGCGATGCGCCGCTGCGTATCTGGTGGGGCACCGTCGACGATGTTCCGTTGGTGTCGCCTCCACCACCGCCGACGCTCCGCCGCCGCCCTCTCTACCTCGTCCGTAGCACCACCGCTCGATCCCACTCGCGCGCATTCTCGCATCTCCTTTGCAAGAGGGGAGGGTCCCTCGACATCGTGGTGGGGTGAAGTTACGCCGAACGGGAAAGGGCACGTAGGGGTACGGGTAGGGAAGGGTAGCGACGTGATCGAACTACACGGCGGCGATACTTCGTCTTCCACTTCCTGCTCTTCGTCTTCGATTCCACTCGTCGAGGAGGGCGGCCGCCGCCTTCATGGCCTGCGATGATGGTGCGCTGCCCGCAAACGTCGTCTCGTCTCGTCTCGTTTTCCTTGTCGTACTTGTCCTGACGCTTGTTTGCCTCGATACTTGGTGTTTTCTTCTTCTCCTTCTTCGCCTTTTTCCTTTATGGCTCGCAGCTTCGAGAAGATGGCCATGTTGAAACCTAACTCGGTTTATGTATTTAATTATCGAACTTATTCGAGTTCCCTGAAATTTTACGGGGCCAAATGCGCCGAAATACGCGGACAACGTATATGAATAATTGATGAAGATAATCGACTGTCTTGGAATTTGCAGCGTTTGCTCTTATATTTTCTTTTTAGCACTTCAACTTTTAGCACAACATTGAGTATATTATATGCACGGTTGTCAAGGTAGACACATGTTGCTTCTCAGTATCTATTATATTTTGCTTCATTATGTTCGCAGATTTCGAAATTTTTATGAACAGCAAGATTTAGTAATTTAACGCTAGACACATTTACCTAATTATTATAATGAACTGCGTCTTCAACTTTTGCAAAAAATGTAATGCTTTAAATATATTGGACAAAACAAAATATAATCTTCTTGGCTTTATTAATTGGTTTTTATTATAAGCACGTATAGAAAGCACTACAAAAAGTCATATAAAATTAATATAAAAGAATTCTTTTGTATTATTAATTATAGCTTAGATTAATTTATTTAAAATAATTAATTGATCTAGTGAAAGCTTATAATTATTCGCGGTGATTGTATTATAGTGTAGAAAAAAATCTATCAAAAATGAGATCGAATGAGACGATACATGTATCACTGCAAAAAATTCTGATTGAAAATGGACGAATCAGAATTTTCTCTCTCTCTGGTTAGATTTATTGGAATTCTAGTTGAAATAATCGGAATTCTGGTTAAATATTTCTAGTAAAATCTATTAGAATTCTTATTTTTACCAAAATATCAATGAAAATTCTAATTATCTCTCAATTAGAATTCTAGTAGATCTAATCATAAAATTCCGATTTGTGTCCATTTTCCATCAGAATTTAATTCAAGACCATTTTTCTTAGTGATATGGTTGTTTGTAAGAAATGAGAAACTACTATCTGTTGACCACGTCGAGTAACATTAGAGAAAAGAACGATCGCACGAAGAAGTGAGATGATGTATGAGTGGAGTGCAAACATATCTTAGAAAGCGAATATGTGAATGTCAAACACACCGTGGGTTGACTTACATTGGAAAATTCCGTTACGACGTATTCTATCCACTTACTGTTGAAAACAGCAACCCAAAGTTGCTATTCGTCACTTACACTTCATAGCGCGATTATTTATATTAATAAAATTAAATTAGTTCCGCAAAAATATGCAATTTTAATAGAGAGGATAGATTCATCGGTTCCAATTAGGTAATGTTGCGAAATTTAACGTCAGCATGGATAACATGTTTTTTTTTAACTCTTTAATCAAACGTATTTCATCGCACGAGCCAATTCAGGACTTTACGTCTTGACGTAAAGATGCAAATCGATCGATAATATTACGCAGAATACCTGGCAATGATCTAACGTCGTCGTTCTGATTTTCTGTTGCAGACAAATGGTTGGGCGTATATTGGTGGAAATGTTTCGCGCAGCGGTCAATAACAAAATAACGCTGATTGTCGAAGAGGTCATGCAACTTGTGCAACTTGTTATCGACGATAACGGTAAGTTGCATTGTACAATTATTATTTGAACACTAGCCTTAAAATGCACTTTTTTTGTTTTTTAAATTACTTGCAAATTGCAGCAATATCTGACATAATTGTAACTTCTACAAAGCTTATAAGTCTGCAAAAACAACCGAAAAACTAAAAAGTCTAAAAAGCTTTTGTACACGCTTATTTTATTAATACTTTCTTTTATCTTGAGAAGCTTTATATATTTCTCATAAAAATTTATTTTTTATTAAATGCTACCTGTCATAATTTTACCGCTTTACATAATATCGATTTTGCTTCTAACAAAATAGCCGCACGATACTGTACGATGACGCAAATTTCAGCTTTTTTTTTCTTAATTTTTTACACGCTAACATTTCTTTATATATTATCAAGAACAATATCATATATTGAATCACAAAAAATTCATTGCTGCACATTCTTTGCTTCTTTGTTTGATGTGGAAGGATTGAAAATGTTTATTTCTGAGACAAATCCTTCGCACCACTTGTGCATGTCAAAGCAAAGGTGTGGTTATTAATTGTTAAAATTCTTACTTTTTAATCACATTTTATTGTATAGCTTACGCTTTTTATTTTGCATCCTTATTGTTTGTCTTTTATGTTTAAATTTACACAATTGACGTAATTTATTTACTAAAATTAAGAATTATTGCAATCGCAAAATATAGCATCATGGACGACAATAATCTCGAGCTGCGTAATATGTCGATTGCAAACGAAAGCATTATAATTTATATATTTATTCGATAGCTGTAATGTTAACGAAACTTATCGATTCTGTGATATTTATGGTGCAATCAGGGATGCGCAAAAAGTTTTTCAAATTCTCTCTCGTATCGACACGATCGAGGTCATTAGATACTCTTCTTTCGCGTTACTACTAAAATTATATACACAACGTTACGCTTTCACTCTCTATTCTAATCTATGACCAATACTTCAAAAAAATTGCAAGCACAGCATCGATAACAGCTTTAAAGCTTGCCATACGTAATTCTCCTTTTTTATTAAAATAACGCCGCTTCGCTAGAAATTGAATTTTTTAAACCGGGATTTGTTCAAATAATCTCGTTCTAATCCGGAAAACGTTAATATTAGACAGTGCCTACAAACTCCTGACCAAAATTTAATAAAACGTGTAAAGATAGTCAAATATCATAAGGTCTATCCCGCTAAATTTTCACATTTTGTACAAGTATAATAATATCACGAGGAATTATGTTTTCAAAAAGTGAAGACGCATCATCAAAGTCAGATGCTTAAGCAACATTTAAAAAATATAGGTATTTTCAATTATGGATATCAAATTTGTCGCACATAATTCTTCCTTAACCGAAATAACGTCTTGTGTCTCGCTACAAAATTGGGCATGCCTCCTTGAGACAAATGCGGGAGGGAGGTCGCTTAAGTAACGTGTTGCCACAGGAAACGTATAAATATTAGCAACCAGCTGTATCGGGGCTGTTTCTTAGGGGGAAGACAGGGGCATGAGTCGTTTTCGTTTGGGGTCGAAGAAGAGGGCAAGATGGTGCGACGAAAAGTAAGCGTTATCGTTAGAAGCAACGACGAAAGATGAGGACGATGTGCCCTCGCTTCCGGTATGGCACGCGCCACGATGCCGGAAGTCGCTCGTGGATTCGAGGATATAGCATTAAGCCGCCGCGATATTTATACGAGAGGGCACAGCTCCCGATCCCAGACGTAAACCCACTCCGTTCTTAATTTAAACATCGCCATCTCTGGCTACGAAGAAATCTTGCGTAGCGCATGCTGGTACCAGGATTTACAGACGCATCCTTCTGACACCTTGATATTCGAGATGGCAATCATGACAGTCTATCGGTGTACGCATTATTTCATATACAATAGAATCGCACGATAATTTATTCTTGTTTATTTTCGATTATGAGTTAAAAACATTAATGTGTAAATAGATTATAGCACTATTAAACGCTACTATCTAATTCTCATTTTCTATTGATATGAAATATTTTTAAATTAGAAAACTAATTAAACGAATATATTCGATGTTAAATGCACAATGAGAATACAGAAAGCAATTAAAATTTTAGTTGGGTGTCACGACTTATGAAAAATTTTGAAGATTAGAGAATTATGGATAAGGAAAAGAAAAATCATTTACACAGTGATGCAGTTTTCACTGCTAAGATGACTGGACGGTGAAAACTCCCAGGAAGTTTTTTTGAAATATTTCGATGAACGTTGACCCGATAGAAGTCTTTTGTAACCTGACAATCTTTACCTGAAGTTGCCTTAAAGAAACAGAAAACTGATATATTCTTTTCCGATGCGTTCAGTTCGATTCAGGTCTCTTTTTTTCAGAAGAACTCCTTTAAACGCGTCAAATATATTCTAAAAGTATTTTACAACTCTTTTGTGTATTTTACACAAGGTTGAGAAGTAATTCGTTACTTCACTAATCTTGTAACGAAGTTACAGTTGTAGTTACTTTTTTTAGTAACTTAACTGTGGTTCCTTTTTTCCATTTATAACTGTAACAAATTAGTTACATCTTTTTGCTAATTAAGAACTAATTTAATAGTTACTTTATATCAAACTTATTTGTCAACATATGGATTAATAAAAATAAAATGTTTAGTAAATGATAATTATTTCTTGTGATTGAAATATATCTTTATCTCTGATAATCATAACTTTTTTATTCCGAATGTATATATTAATTTATTATAAGTAATATAGCATATAATCGAATTTTTAGTATAATAAATAAAATAATTTAGAGTGTTAAAAATGTATAAACTAAATATATACAAATTCTTGCATTTAAAATAGCATTGCAAAAAAATTACTAAAATTAACAGAAAAATAACGACTTGTCACTTTTTAGGTAATTATGACTGTAATGTGTTGCTTTTCAGATTGTAATTTGAATAATTTATAATGATAACTAATTTCTAAGAGAAAAAAAATTGTAACTGGAACTAGTTGTTTTTTATTACAAAGTAACTTTCTCAATCCTAATTTTTCTCACAATTCATCAAGAATCTAACGTAGTAAGATTAATCATCGATAATTATTTCTATCGAATTTGAAAATACACAAAATAAAAAAGCGTATTTTCATCACAGGAACAAGTAAAAAAAGTAAACTATTTATTTTAAACATTTTATTGTGCATAATGTTTTAGAAGAATAAAAGTGAATTGCGATACAAATGTAAGATGATAAATTGATCATGTTTACAGGAAGTGATATTTATATTTTTACAATGTGTGTTCAAAATTCATCATAAATCGTGATTAGATAATAAATAAGTGAAAAAAAGACTATTCTTAAATCAACCATAATATACTCATATATAAGCAAAAATATTGTAATCTGAATTAAGTGCAAAGTAATACTTGCATCAAAACAAATTTAATCAAATCAAGATTGATATCTTTGAAGCAAGATTATAATATTTTTGCTTATATATGAGTATATTATGGTTGATTTAAGAATAGTCTTTTTTCTGTGTGTACCTATATTAAATATTTTTAATGCAGAATACAAAAAATAGATTAATAAAAACTCCAGTATATTTTGATGAAATCTGATATTCTTATCTCTACTCAAACAGTTGGTTTTAATTGGAGATATTTTGATGACGTATAAGTTGTATAAGAGCTTATTACAGTAATTAGATCACAGGATAAAAAAATTTAACGTGCACAAATATCTAATATCATAACTGTATAAATATTTGTAACCAATGATCATCTTTCACAATATCTGAGAGAAAAAATCAGCTTGAAATCTAATTTGTCGAAAGACCACCAATCGAGAACTGCTCAATACGAACGTAGTACATGTTATCCATTCGGAAATGGTGAAGCACACAAGGGATGATGCGACGGGTGTGTCTCGATGTGCAGCAGCCGAAAGGTGGCGGTGTCCTAACCAGCTATTTTAGGGGCAAACCGCGGAACATCTTGCCCCGTGAACACGTGCCACCATTGGTGTTTTTCTGTAGGGGAACATGCGGAAGGGGGACGAAATACGTGCAGCAGCACCGGTTCAGGGCTAGCGGGGCACGCGACACGTATGCATTTGTTCGACGTTTACATATTTTTGGATACGCCGCCCGATGGAGGGAAATCGGACTCTCCCCGATTTTT